TGCCCTCGGTCTCCGGCCCGCCACAGCCTGGCGCTGGGCACCGACTGCCCCGGGGTGCGGGTTCCAGCCACCGCAGCAGGCTCGCCTCTGCTCCTGCGCTCTGCCTAAGTACACCTTGACCCCCAGGTGACCCGCGCAGGCCCTGTCAGCAGGTGAAGTGGCCTCGCTTGGGGGAACACAGAAAGTGTAGTCTGTTTTTCGAGGTGGACCCTCATAGACTGTCGCAGTGCACCCACAGGTCCCGCCGGTGGCCTTGCCCTCCAACACGTTAAAGGAAGGGCATCACCTTCTCTAGTACAGAGGCCCGGGGTTTGTCCCACTGGCCATTCGTTTTTGCCGAAACATTAGCCCTGGGCGGGATCGCTCTCCGGAGCCCATACCCTGCCCCCAGGAGGCCGGGTAGGGCGGCAGCCGCTGGAGCCGGTGGCTGGAGACTGCTTGGGACGGTCCATCCATCATGAAGAGCGGGATGTGCAGGGCCTAGAGCAAAATGGAAATGCAAGGTTCTTGTTCAGAGTTAGCAAGAATTTTAAGACGGGGACAGCGGGAAGTTGGGGTGCAGAATTGGTTCCCTCTTCCCCAGCTCTGGCAGTCACTGGCCATCTTAGGGTTCCTGAGCTCGTAGAAGCCTCACCTTGACCTCTGCCTCCACCATCACGTGGTGTTCTCCCTGTGTGCCTCTGTGTCCAAGTGTCCCCTTTTTATAAGGACATTGGTCCTATTTGGTCGCTCCCACCCCAGGGACCTCGTTGTAACTGGGTAAAGACCCCATCTCCAAATACAGTCACATTCTGAGGTCCTGACGGTTAGGACTCAATGTATGAATTTGGGAGAGACACAAACCAGCCTTAACACAGGACACCTGAACTCGGAACCCCAGCTGACCAAGCGGAATTGTGACGGAGAGCCCAGGGCCTGAGCTCTGGTGAGAATTCTCATGGGGTCCCACCCCATCCACAGGTCAGCATGGTCCCGTGGCCAGGTCATGACTGGTCACCAAACATCCACAACAAGGCCTCTCCTGGCCAGTGGCCTCTATCTGTGGCACCAGAATGACCGGCTTACCAGGGGCGTCTCTCGGTCCGGAACTTTGAATCCGCTCATCGGTAAAACGTTTCCTGAGGGCTCACTCAGGAGGGCGCTGGGCTGGGCCCCTGGTCTCCAGGGCTCACCTGCCGGCCGGGCATGCTGACCAGAAGTGACAGCTCATGTGCCGCACCTCGGTGGGGACACTGGCGCTGGGCTTCGCCCCGATGGCACCGGCTTCGGACAAGGCTCCCAGCGCAGAGCCTTTGTCCCAATCGCTTCTCCCAGGACGGTGACGTCGACGGCGAGAAGCTTCGCTCTGCGTCTCCCCCTTCACAGCAGTCCCAACTTCCCAGTGTCAGTCGCAAGGTCACATCGCAGCACGGCCCAAATGTCAGATGGATGACAGGCCCCCGAAGCTGGCCCTGTGCTGCCCCCGCCCCGGGGAAGGCCAAGGGTTTGAGCTCCGCCAGCGCGGAGTGACTGATGCTTCCTTGCGCCCTGCGAGCTGGTGCCTCAGTCTCCTTCGCGATCGGGCCAGCGTCTAAACTCGGCTCTCAGGCAGGAGGCATGGTCCGTGACGTCGTTTTTATAAAAATCTCTTTCTCACTGGAGTTGCGAAAGTAACGAAAGCTGTCACAGAGCCACGCTGAGTTTGCTCGAGTTCATTTTACACGCTGCCGCCTGGAGTCGGGGGTCCAGGCAGGTGGGTGGACAAAGCCCACCTCTGCCCGAAGTTCCGGCCAGGGGTGCACCGACTTATAGGTCTGAGAACCAGGACGGATAAGCAGAATCGACCTTCTCTGTTGTTTGTTGTGAAGAGTGACCCAATGACTCGAAGGCCCCTCGCTTTCCTCACTCGGCAAAGGGTCCTCAAGTTTCCTCCGGGTTGCAACACGTGTCGGGATTTCCTTCCTTCCACAAGCTGATACTATTCCATTGTTGCGATTACATGGCTGGATAGTCTCCAACTGGCGACTCGATCATCCGATGACGCACACGAGTTATTTCCACCCCTCGGCTACTGTGAACAATGCCGCTAGGAACGTGAGTGTGCAGATATCGGCCCAAGGCCCTGCTCTCGGTTCCTGGAGGGTTGTGCCCCGGGCCGGGATTGCTGGGTCGTGCAGCAGTTTTCAGTGTGGGGGGACTGTCATTTCATCTTCCACAGCGGCTGTACCGTTTTACGTCCCCATGAGCAGTGCCCGAGCATTCCAGCGTGTCCCCATCCTTGCCCACACTTGTTACTTTCTGGTTTTTGTCAGTAGCCTTCCGGGTGGGCGCGAGGCTGTATCAGTGATTTTTTTAAGACCTCTTGGGTTCCTCGTTCCCTTAGCTGTCTTTCTCTCCCCTCCTACTTTCTGAAATACTCAAGAGGTTAAATTTTGAGATAAGAAAGTCTCTAAATATGAAGAACCGGGGAATTTCGACTTCTCTTGCCTGTCCGAGCGGTTGGGATGAGTCCTTCGTATCGTCACCCGGAGCGCGCTCGGCCAGAGACCGCCACGTCACACCTCACAGCTGGCCTTGAGTTCGTGAAAGCATGAGGTCTTAGAAATGAAAACTGAGAAATTGTTTTAAAAGATCTTTATTAATTTACGTTAAGAAACCCATTCCACGTTATCCTATGACGACACAGGTAACGTTCTGCGAAAAATTGTTATTTTTGAAAAAATGATAGGAGTGGACTCGTTTCAAAATTTCAGGAACCTCTTTAACATCCGTCTCACTGGAAGACGGCTGGGTTCTCGTATCTGCTCCTGCGTTCCGTCTGTGGCGATACGTTGTTTTAGTTGATTGACCTGTGTGAAGAAAATTCGGCCTCGTCCAGAGGCGTAGCGGGAAAACGGAGGGGCGTTCATGTGGGTGCCCCGCCCACACTGGCACGTGGGTGCTTCTCGAAGGCCCTTTTTTTGCACCGTGGGCTCTGACGCCACATCGACGAGCTTTTCGTGCTGTCAGACCGAAGCCCACTGGTCTCTCTGGCACTTCAAATGCCTCCCTTACCCACGCGTGACTCTGTAACACGGCCGTTTGCTCATTTGGAAATATTCATTCCCTGAGTTATGCAGTGATTGCAAACGTTGGCACATTGCACCAGACAGCATTTGAACACCGCAGCTGTCAGTGTCACCGCCTGCCTCGTCAGAGAGGTCCTTCGGTAGTGGGCAGCGACCAAGTTCAGTGACACATGCGAGGTCTCTAGAATTCTAATTTTCACCCAAAAGCTCAAG